TGAAAGCTGAAGAGCTAGTCTTTTTATCTTTAGGCTTATGATTATAGTCTTATATAGAACTATAGTATATTATAGCTTACTACTACTTACAATGGCTTACTGATTCATTAGTGACTCTTGATGAGCCGGTCTTATCTTATCTATACGTGACTTAGTTTCTATGAATGCCTGCTGCAGGGTTCCTGACGGCGGCCTGATTCCTGGCCGTGACAAATATTAACTAATTTCAATAAGAAATCTATAAGAACTATGATAAGGTCATCTACCTAACAGCCTTTAGACAGAAGGGTATTATTATAGACCATGAGATGTACAGATTTATGCTCAAAGCTTTGCCATACCGTGTGCAACTTACGGCAATCATCGACTTACGCCATTCTTTATCTGGAACAGAACCCCCTCGGGAATATAACACGTTTGGCATTCTGAAATGATCTTGGTCAGGCCTCCGGGTGCGAGACGAGCCTCAGTGGCCCGACTGCCCTGGCTGCCATTTCTGCATTCTCGCGTCATTATTGCTGCAGTCATGACAATGGTAAAGATTCTGATGTTTAAACGAGATTTGATATTAGTGACAAAGTTTCCTGCTTTTTACGAGCTCGTCCAAGACATCACCATAGAATCCGATCCTTCCAGTCTCGTATAACCACATGGCGTGTGCGAAATGCTGGACATTCGTGTCTTCGAGTATTGCAGACAATTTGTTATCGAGCCCGTGTGATATTTCTGCCTGTCTTGCAAACTTGACGTAATTCATGCGCTCTTCTAAACGCTGGCGGCGCGCCTCGTCTTCACGGTATAGCGGCCCGTCCATAGCTGAGGGCACAATGATGAGGTCTTTTGCAAATTCTACCAGCTCCCAAGGAACAATAAACGAGCCTTCCCAATCTATTACCGAGAGTATATCATATTCAGAGTCGATGATTATGTTGCTGTTATAAAAATCTGTATGGAACAGCGGGAACGGACCTTCGCGGAAGGGGAAACCTTGCGCAAGCTCCTTAACTCGTGACGGAAATGTTTTGATCGATCTCAACACCTCATCCACTACTTCTGAAGGTGTTCTTTCACGTATGACCTTCTCACTATACGGAAACCTGGCCTTGTCAGCCCAGGCCGCGAGAAACTGTGCTGCCGAGTGAAAAGGGCCGCCAATGCCGGGTAAGGGTCCGACAGTATAGGTTCCATCGTCGCATTTAACAATACTGCCAATCTTCGGAAAGCGTATAGCTGACATCTGGACCTAGAGAACTTAACTAGCGTTATCAAGTAGGCATTTGCTGTACGTACCTGAATATCGGCCATTGCGGTATGGAACTTTGCCTTGAATCGCGGAGGAGTCTTGCCCTTGTGTGCTGCATACCCGCCAAAAGAATCCATTGCCGTATCCCCCAGCATGAACTCCATGATCATAAACGGGACCGCTACGGCGTTGTTACGATTGGCTTCATAAGCATACACTTCGGGCACGGGGATACCGGATCGCTCTCGAACTACAGCCATTGTGTGGATTTCACTAACTAGGCGTTCGGTCGATTGTGAAGTCGTTTCATGCAGTTGTATTCGCACTATCCAACGAGTATTGTCGTGAAAGTCAAGGCGTCGGACTAAATTTCGTCCACCCATGTTGTACTCAGCAGAGAGCTGGCAGCTAACCGGAATAATCCCATCACGACGGCTTTTTACGTCGATGGCGTACTGTACAAGAGCCTTCCAATTCACAGGCCCAAGCGAATCCTCTTGGCTGATGTCTGTGGTTGGCCAATTCAAGGTTCCGATTCCGCCGCTTGTCGTAGGCATGGCGAAGCGTTTGCAAAGTCGGAGAAAATCACGCGCAAAACAGTCAGCAGAACGAAAAATTGTGGAGGAAATTGAGTTTGGTTGTGTGTGTGACACGATCCAGCGTGAGAGCCTCACGGGAAAGGCTAATTGATATGCAAGATTGGATCTGTCATCCGGGTCCGGCCGGCTAGACTTCCGGTGTGTCTTCGGTTCCGCTAAAACTTTGAATTGGTGGGTGCCTTAGGAGATGAAGTTTATCAGGAATAGCACAAAGCAACAGCATAAAGGCTACAAGAGGTCTAGATACTTCAACAACTGCGTCTCAAATAGCCCATCGAACATGGAGAGTTCAATCATCGTTCGTTGGACGTGTCCATCCACATGTGCAAGTATCACCCCTCTTAACCTTTTCGCTACCACAACCGAGAGTTGGACATTTGGAATAAAGACTCTGTGCACTGTTCACAAGCCATTGCGTGTCGCTCTTTGTGTCGCTCTTTGTGTCGCTCTTTGATACGAAAACAAGTGGAGCAGGACAGATTGAAGCTTAAGACCTTCAGTGTGCCCGCGTATAAGCGCAGTACAAAGAGGAGTACCTTCTTGAACTCCATACAGAATACATTAGCAGACAAGACCGAAAGCGAGTTACTGCTCCCTCTTGTTGAGAATGACGATGGCCTGGTAGTGAGCGTATTGCCGCTTGACCTCACGCGTAGTGTGCCCACATTGGATCTATAAGTTATAGGTAGCGCCAGGGCTTCTTCTAGGGCAGGAATATCTGACATACCAGATATACCTCATATCGCTGTACCAGCCTGCCCGAGCTGTGGTGTTGTGGTACGTTCGGCTCTACTAATTTATGCTGTACGATTTGCGTGATGTGCTGTTAGCGCTCACCCAGCACAGTAAGGTGATATGTCTGCGTCTGCGACTATTTCCGGCGACTTTGCAGCTCTTTCACACGCGGCCGTCCTGCTAGCCAGAAAACTGTCCTCCCCTTTGAAACCACCGGCCCGTCGTCCGTCATGAATGGGGGAATCTCCAAGACGCGGCCCCGCCGCTCTCGTGTGAATCCATCCAAGGCCTTACAAGAAACGCTGCTGGCCGCTGTTGCAAGTTCCGGTGCAGGTATGAATGTCGACAGTACTCTTGGATGCGGACGGTGAGAAGTCTTGCTAACTCATCAGGTACAGAGCTTCCGCAGAACCCCAGAGAGGAGCCCCCAGACGCGCTTTTGCCCCCTATGAAAAGGGCGCTCGACGCGACGACTTTCGACATCGACCCATTGCCCTCGAAGAGAGCCCGGCTGACGCGGACGGACGGGCAACAGCCCAGAGTTGGGAACGGGAAACCAGAGCAAGCGGCCGAGGTATGACAACGTTCTCCCACGCAGGCCAACGACTAACAGAGGAAATCATACAGGCGACTCTACAGCAGCCAAAGCCTAAGCCTTCTACACGATCATACGCCTCGTTTCTCAAAGACTTCATCGACCCCGTCCATCCGAGCCGTTCCGAGTCCGTCAACACCTTTGTTTCCGAGTGGCTCGAGTCTGTCGGGTCGGACCGAGAGAAACACTGTCGGTCGGACAGCCATCTTTACCGTTCGGACGACGACCCTATTTCGAGGCGGCTCGCCAGATCGGCGTCGGAGATGGGTTACACACGGGATGCCGATGGATTCACGGTGCCGCCCACGCCGCCCCCTACCGGGCCACACCCCCGTCCACCTAGTACAGACAGTCGATTCTCTGCTGCCGGCGCGTCTGGTACTTCTAGTTCATCTTCTGGTGTTCGAGATCGAATGTACCGCCAGAACAACTTGACATTCAACCACATCCATGTCCGGCACCCTAATGCGCCGCTGCCCACTAACGTCTCTGGTTATATCAACGACACATTGCGCGCCAAGCGGGACTCTCCCGAGCTCTCGGCCGAAGAGATGAAGGAGGCTATGGACCGGTTGGGTAGTTTCACAGAAGAGGGATGTGATGAAGATGATGTGGCGGCCTTCTTTAACGATACAATATTCCCTAACCCTCGAAGTGACCCAGTTTATGGGTCTGCTACGGGATTGATGAGCAGCTCCAGCGCTCTCATGTCGCAGCATCTTGTTCCCACCAATCCTGTTAGTCCGTACAAGGTTACTCAGCCCAAACCAGACAAACTATATGGGTACTCGGGGCACCTCAATGCGGCGTTTACAGAGCCACAACTCCTGACTCAAACGACACTCCATCCACGAATCCCACGCTATTCGGTGGCAACATCACAAGGTCTTCGGTTTCCTTTCTTCGCCATCGAGTTCAGAGCGGCCGGAGGTACCCGAGGTGATCTCTGGGTTGCCACAAATCAGTGTGCCGGTGCTTCATCAGCTTGCCTCGAAGCTATAGACCAGCTAAACAAGTCGCTTCGAGAGTACCAGAGAATAGAGCGTGTCGACAACTCATCCTACTGCATTGCTGTGGACAACAATACCGCCCAATTATACATATCATGGAAGGAAGATGACTTGAACTATTACCTCCAGCGAGTTGATGCTTTCCTACTATCGAGGCCAGGGGATTTCAAGAGCTTTCGCAAGCAGGTTCGAAACATTCTCGATTGGGGAAAGGACACACGCCTAAACCAGATTAGGGATGCATTAGATATCGTCCTTGAGGAAAACAGGAAGAGCGCTTCCAATACGGCGAAGTCTCGCCTACCACCATCTGTTGGTTCTGCCACCACCACCGCCAGCAAAAAGCCTAAACCCCCACCATCGCACAAATCCTCATCGTCGCACACATCCTCATCGTCGCGCACATCCTCATCGTCACGCAAATCCTCATCGTCGCAAAAAAAAAAACTAACATCTGACGATGGACAATAATAAAGCAAGGGAGGGAAATAAACCGTATTGGGACTTGGATGAGACGACTGGGCAATAGTTTCACAAATCCAAACGATTCTATCGTTCGAGTAGAGCAGGATGGGACAGCCGTCACGAGTGCCATCGGTGGAGTAATGGGATGCAGAATTTGTCAGGAGTGCCCGCAAGGAGGCACCTTTCTCACCAGAACGCACAATTGAATGAGTTCATTCCCTTCCAGAAATTTCCTTGACGTGATCAATCCCGTCCATCATAAAAGTGTGTTCCTGCTAGACTGAACTACTGAGCTCAATCCATTCCCATTGTCCCATCGCGACGCAAACAGCTTCCCCTTTACCCCTACTTTTAGGCTGGGGTTTTTATAGTCCATGGCGACTTCCTTTACCTCCTCAAAGCTCGCTACCTTGTCGGGGACGCGACGCCGAGAACGACGGCGATGCGAGGCTGGAGCAGCGTCAGGGCCACTACCGGCGCAGCACTGCCGTCGACGGCCGGGTCCGGGGTGTCTCGCAAACTGAGGGACTCTAACGGTTGGTGTTAGTTGCCCTTTCAGGACAAGCCTGCCGAGCGTAATTGATTATGTGTGTGTGTGTGTGAGTACAGCGGCGGTAGACAGGCTTTTATCGATCTACATTCTTAGCTACTTTGTAGTCTATCAGAGTCCGACCCCGCTGATCAACACCGGTAAAAAGTGGCATAATGGGTCTTGAGGGCATGGGTCTTTTTAGGGGGCCAGTGGTAAGCGAAAGTAGGATCGCGCTGAAGCAGAAGCGGGGGCTGCCAGCAGTCGCCGTCTGTGATGTGTAGGCAGTGACGGGCGTCTCTTCACATGTGTTGTTGGATGCTTGGTGCCGTGGCTGACAGTAGCTCTCTCCCTAGCCATGTCCAATCCCCTCCCTGCCCCCTGCCCGGATATGCCTTCAGCCTATCACCCTCACATCATCTACCGGGCATTCACGCACGTCTCTAAGTCGCTAGCCACGGCTGGGCCATGCTCCGTGGTTGCCCAGTAGTGTATCTCATTCAGCCAGGCGACCAGCGTAGAGAGATGGACGCTGATGAGTTGATTGCCCTGCGCGAGGCGCGTTGCCACAAGGTTGACTCCCGGGCCGCAGTCAGGCCGGTCACCGTTGTTCTGGCCGCGTTGTGATTGATATTGATGAGAGCCAGAGCGCGAGAGCGGAGACGGTGGCCTGCGATCGCAGCGGGGACGTCTCTTCTGATCTTGGCTGTTGCCGGTGCTGGGACGGAGAGGAGGGGCACTGAGCAGGTCTGTGGTAGTGGCGGCGCTTGTGGCCGAGGCGGGGCGCGGGACGTGAGATGAGATGGAGACAGACTGGGCGGAGCACTTGGACTTGGACCTGGAGCGGGCGCGGTGGCTGTCGACAAGGCGGAAGCTCCAGATGGCAAACTCGTCGGGGGTGAGAAGGGCAGCGAAGAAGCAGAGATCGGAGGAGAGGGGCCGGCCCTGGCTCCCGACGTGGTGGGCGCGCAGGGCGGCGCGGCTCTCAAGGGCGCGGGCTGCGCCGGCCGTAAGATCGGGATGCCGTGCGGCGAGGGCAAGGTTGGCGGACTCAGCGTGTAGGGCGACAACAAGGTAGGGGTAGAGCATCCTTAGGTCCGGGTGCATTGTTGCGTAGGGCATGGCGCACCGGAGTTGCTCCGGAATGTCGTCGGCGTGGAGCCAGTATGTGACCACCGGTGCGATGGGATTCGGCAGTGATGGGGTACCATGGTCGCTGGTGCGCTGCTGGGGAGTATAGGGACCCTTGGCAAAGGCCTGAGAGAAGGTGGGTGAGCGACGGGAAACGAGACGCCAATGGTGCTGGTCATTGTGTTGGCGCTGGTCGTCGTGGCCAGGGCTTCTGCTCGGAAGAGTTGTCGTGACGGGGTGGCTGCGAAGAATATATCGTAGAATCATCATCTCGATCATCTCATCTCCAGCCTTTTGCACAAGACTGCTCTCCATCTCGTTCCGGAACTCGTTGGCAACAGACTCAGAGATGTAGACTCGGCCTAACACACCGCTGAGCGTGTGATTACCGTCGCTATCGCCGTTACCCTCGCCCTCATCTTGATTGTCAGGGCTCTCGGCTGGTGTTATAGCAAGAGGGCTGATGCGGTCGCTCGAACTGATCTTCAACTTGTTGTTCTTGCCATCTTCGCCGTGGCCGTGGCCGTTATGCTCTCCCTTGTTCGGGTACGGATCTCGCAGCGCCGCGAAGAAGCTCTGTGCGCTCTAGACATGGGGCTTCTCGTCGTACGAGACGTAGCAGGGGGTTGGGGAGCTCATGGCGCTGGTGAGGCAGTGGTAGCCGTCAGGACAGGCTTCCTCGTTGTTGTCGTCGTCGTCGTGGTTGCTGTTGCTGTAGCAGGTGGAGCGCACGGTCGAGGAGGTGCTTGTACGGAGCGTGGCGGCGAAAATGACGGTCGGCCGGTTATGGGGATGCCTGGCGACGTTGGCCCAGAGAGCCTGGGTCTGGCAAGGGTCGGTTTCGGCGATGGGGCCTGGATCTGCAATGGATGAACTGGAATAGGAGGCAGAAAGGGAGCCAGGCACGGAGGCGGAAGAGGGTAGCGGTCTGGAGATGGATCCGACTCCAGGTTTGGGGTCTGTTCCGAGTAGGGAAAGAGATGAAGGAAGAGGAGGACGGAAATGGAAAGGAGCAGGTTCTGGTCCAGAGACAATGGCACTTGGGCTCAATGAAGGCGGTGGCTGCAAGGAATTTTCATCTTGGTTCCCGTGCCCGTGCCCGTGCCCGTGCC